TGATTCCACACCGAATCAGCAGAAAGCTCTTGGATTCATTCGCCAGGCCGCCCTTTTGCACCTCTTTGCACCTTTCCCCCAGTCGAGGCACCTCCGCGATCATGCCGTGAGCCGCCTGATCATGCCGGGGCCGGTGACCTCCCGTTGTTCCGCTCATCTAAAATGGGAGAAAGAAGTGTTTGAAGGGTCTACATGGTTACCATGCGTCTATCCTTGACACTTCAGAGTTGATCTATACTTCCTTGCTTTCCTCTGGCCGTACTGACCGCACTGGCACGTGCTCCACACCGAACCGGTCGGCCTGCGCGGGTCGGCACCCACGGCTCACGACCGTCCGAATCGTCCGAACCGGGAACCCGGAGGCACGCGCCACGTCGTGAAAACGATAGACTTGGTGTGAGAAACAAGCTCCCTTGGAGGCGAGACCCAGTATAAATCAACATCGATACCGCAACGGTAAGCCTGTACGCTTGGTTATCTGAAAGTACCCGACCAACCTTCAAGATGAGTCTGCTGACATCTGTTTGAAATCGGACCCTGATGGCGTTCCGTCTCAATCAGATTGGAGCTCCCATGCCTTCATCAGCACGCTCGAAGCCGCCACCTGGTTCCACAAGGCTACAGCTTACAGTTTCAAGACATTGCTCCCCGCAAGACATCTCATTTGCTGTTTTGAAGTAATTATGGGTTCTAGAGTTGAGTGCTTAGTTGGCTGGGAAAGGAGTCATCCAACACTTTGGCAAACATGGGCAGTAGACATCTCATCATATCTGTACAGTACTACAAGGGTTTCTCCGAAGCCAAATCAAAAAGTGTACAAGGTTGTAGAAGCCGATCGTTGCAATCGAAAATTGCACAAACAAACCCGAATCCTAACAGTTAGGTTGGAGGCCATCGCTCTTAGGTTGGAGGCCATGGCTATTCAAAGCCAAAATGGCGGGATGTCTTCGAGTCAGACTAGGCAACACTCATAAGGGGCTCGAGCTATATGGTTAGGAGGTGCAGAGCACGCCAGAGCAGATGCAAACGTCTTGTCGATCTGTTCCTCACAATTCCAAAGGGCTACTCAAAAAGTGGCCTGATATTTAATGACCCTGCTAGGTGCTTGGCTAAAGCAAGCTCAAACAATCGAAACAAGCACGGACCAGATCACAGATTCCAATTATCGACTAGCAAATTAGTCTCAAACAAAGCAATGACAAAGACAAACATCACATTCCCGTCCAAGCCTTCATGTCTGGGCCCTCTGTCAAAGCCACCTTGGAAGAGGCACGCTCAAAATGTCCAATTCAACCCTCCAAGTGGAACTGTCTGATTGTTTTGGGACCAACTGCAAGAAAAGTGGGCTTCTGTAATGCAAAATGGAATATGCCTATATATATATATACATGTTTTTTTGCACAATGAGTATGACTGGCGTGTCTTTCATGGGTAGAAGACTTGAAGAGACCACAGTGTCCTGCTGCCTACGATTGATGCTAAGGGGGCGGGGTGGATCTCAACCCGAACCTATGTGTGACCTTTCACATGCAAAGCTGGTGTTCAAACCTGTTACAGGGAGCAATGATCGAAGGAATGGCTGTCAGCAATAAGACAAGGTATCTTTGAAAAGCGATGTTGCCCGAGGACAACCCACAACCACGGCATGTCTAGTAAAGGGTGCAGACTTGCCTGGGCACCTGATGAGTGTTCGTCCTCACCGGGCCACCTTCGGCCTAGAGTCGGTGGGTCAGCGAGACGGAGACATGCTCACGTAGGGATCGGAGACTTCCATCTCTCACCGAACCTCTCTCTCCTGAGATCCCCAACTCTCTCTACTACGGTCACCTCAGCAACACCGCCAGCTGGGCCAGGCTCGATCTCTGTGTACTTTTGTTATATCTTGGGTCACAAGGATAAGTGAAAATTTGGGTGCTCTTCGACCTAAACACGAGACCTTCAGTGAAGTGTTCTATGGCTGTCCAGCTGGATCTAGATTATTCGTCGATGATAGCACGGTCAAACGTGGTGAAACTTTTCAGCCCCTGTCCAACCATGCAATGGCCGCTGTGCTGGTAACCCTAGGTATATCTTCTTCCGAATGTATCGCACATATGGTGGGATATTGGGGCTATCTGGGGCTGAAAATTACAGTTTCAGAAGACGGGTTCACATCAAAAAGTGTCAGAAGAACGGTTATATAACTTGTGAAACCTGCAAAGCACGGTTCACATCGTATTCCAATCACCTCACCTGATTTCTCTCACTCAGTCTGCCGCAACGGCTCGGCGGTGGTGGCGGCGGAGGTTGAGCCTGGCCGGCTGAGCTCACGAGCAGGTCGACATGCATAAACCTGGGACCAGGAGGAGCTACTGTTACCGGAAAGCTTTATTGTTTTCTACAGGTGACACCATTCAAAGTGAAACGACCAGGAAGCGCAGGAAGAGAACAGTCCTGAAACAACCACAGTTGTGAGGACATCGGTGGTGCTGACTCGCGGCTGCAGGAGAGCGATTCAATCGTACGTAGTGTCGGTAGTGTTGGCTTTAGGCAAAGATTCCAGCTGCCTGCATCCTACATTCCCAGGTAGTAACGAAGCTGTTGAAACTATAGTCACAAATAGTTCTCCAAAATGCAAGTAGAACATTAAAGAAAGCCGCACCTTTGGAACAATAAGGGACACCTGCACTTAGAACCTAAGACATATGACAAAATATATTACTTTCAATGCCCAGGTAGGACCAAAAGACAAAAGTTACTCACAGATCCGAATGCTTTGCATCGAACATGCTCTAAAACACAAGATCAGCTGAAAGAGGCCCACGCCGCGTCCACGCGCCTTGCCAGAGAACGTCTCAGACCATCCCTGCGGCGCACCAGCGGCTTTTGGATCACAGTGAGTGCAAGCCCCAAGTCAGCCAGTTCAAAGCAGTGCCCAAACCGACCCTTTGTGCTTGTAAGTTCTGCAGCATGTTGGGCTGTCAGGGTGCTAAATCGACGCCAGAGGGTTCAGTTCTGGTGCTTCGAAGGGTTTTACTGGTTCGCTCTGATCGTCTCTCCGCCCGGTTGACAAGCGGTCCAAGCTCACAATGAAACCACCAACTTGGCGGTCCATCAATCCACAGACCTCGTGTTGACACTGGTCATCCCCATGTGCTGCGGGAAAAATTCTTCCAGACATCGCCTGCGAGGACATCGCCGGGCTCGGCCTCAGTCAGTGCCATCTCACGCCGTTCGGCGGTCTTGAGCGGAGCCGGAGAAGGAGAGAACTCTCGAGATCTCTGGGTTGCTCACCCCAGATACCCCAGATGACCATCCCAAACGCGGTGCAACCCATGTGAAAATAATATCAGGTCGGCCAGGGTGGGAGAACACCATACGGATTGAGTCACGTGCAAACAAAAGGGGCTACCAATCAAAGTGGCCTTCGATCTCTACAAGCCTCCACATGTCACTGTTCCAGGGAGCTCGTGAACCTTTTCCAGGGAGCTCATGCCTGTTTGAGCGAGATCAGTTTCTCCGGTGTGAAAACCAGCGTTGACACTTAGACCCACCACGAAGCGGACCGGACCATCTGAGGACACCACGCTGTGAGCGGTGGCCTGAGGTCAATCGGACGTGTGGAATAGAGAATGACTCGTGGTCGATCTCAACCACGCTTTTCCAGTGAACATTGATAAGAGAAACTATTAACATCTATTAACTATGAGAAACCCAGGCAACCGAGCTGCAAAGTCGAAGGAACATGATATGCTAAAGCTTTCCCATTGTAGGCCGCATTGCCCCGAGGCTCGGTGCCTTGAAAAGTCCTTCTCTCTCACCCACCACCAACTACCCTGACAAACCTGTGACAAACCCATGGGCCCATGGGAAGGACTTAAATGGTATGTGTGTCAAGAAATTCGGAAGATGATCCTACTGTCCACTATGCAGACAGACTACAAGAGGTCCAAAGCATTCTGGCCCATTTGTGACTTCACACGATTTCCTCATGTACTATAGCTACTCCATGCTATTTGTGCTCTTCTATGTACCCCCAAACCACTAGCAAACTCCCAACTGGGCTTACGAATAGGACCAGAAGACTGGTACCTATTTGAGTGAGGAATATGTTAGGATATGCAATCTGACGATGACTTTAGTAGCTATCACCTCCAAATTTGGCCAATAGTAGTACACTCCCTGGAAGTATCATGGAAGTGAATTGCATGGCTCCTTGCATGGCTCCTTGCATGACCATGTTCTCTACAAATCGGTGGTTGTATTGCTTTTTGTCCTGGCCCACCAGCGTCCGTGGAATGCTGCCCAGTGGCGGAGCTCCTGCTGACTTGGACTTGGTCACGGCCTGAGCAGACAAGCAGACCGGATGCCCGAAGGTCCCATTGGTTCAGTTCAGGAATCACAGATTCCAAGCTCTGACCCATTTCAGGGTCCAATGTCACTTGGGAGGTCATCCAAACACCTGTAGAACAACAGTTGTGGGTGTAGAACTGTTAGTCTGCCCGGGGTGTAAGTCTGAGAAGTCCTCGCCGGAGGAGGCACTCTTCCGATTCGAGTCAAGGCAGATCGGCGCTGCTCGACTCAGACTACCCTGCAAAGAGGGAGACCGGTGAGGTCTTTTCATCAGCCCCAACCCCGACCCGACAGACCACGTTTCGACTCCAGCAGGCTGCTTTGAAACATGGGAACTGAAGGAAACATGCTGGAGCTCTGGAGGGGGAAGTCCCGAGGTATTGGCGTCACCCGCAGCGGCGGTGCAGCGGCACAGCGCGCAGCTAAAAACGCAACGCACCAGTAGTCACAGTTCTCCCGCGTCACAGCAATTGGCCAACCCAATCTGAGGGTCTGAGCCCCGATACCATCCCTGGCAGGTGCCAAACGCAGTGGTGAAAAACGGATACATGCAACTTCGGCCAAAAAGGTGGTCCCAATATTCTGGGGGTCCAACGACATAGGAGTTGGTTGCACTCCCTGTTGGGAGTTACCAACTAGTTTGTACCTGCATGTGCAACTTTAGAGTTCAGGCCAAATCCAGTTCCGTTTCGGGCAGGCACTGCGCTCGCTAGACATTCAAGTAGACGACGTAGACGACGACGACGCCGACGCCGACGACGTTTTCTCTATACGATGAAGAGTCGTCCAGAGTGGAGTGAAACTATGGACAGCAGATTGTTCACCTGTTTGTCAGGGACTGCGGTCTGACTGGTTTGCTTTTGCTACGAGAACGTAGTGTCAGCGGCATGCCGCTGGAGCCGGTGTCTTGGATTCCAGTCAAACCAAAAGGTCGCCAATGAGATTTCTCTGGTTGAAAACCTTTCAGGTGCAGCCAAACCAGTTTCTTCCCTGGGAACTCCTCATTGGGGAAGCTCTTGAAGGCGGCTTCTTCTGCAATGACCCGGCATGAATGCGGCAGTTGCCAAGTCATCTGTTTCAGCACTCGGGGATGAAGGTTCGGATCCCTGAGCGCCCTCTCCTCAGCAGTGGGACTGGATATTGAACTGACATCACCTTCTTGGACTCCTTCTGGATACTGGTGATAAAATTTACTACTGTACACCTCCTCATCAACCCATGGGAATTGACCAAAAACATGTTTGTCTTGGTGAGTCTCCACAAATGTTATGGCTTTTGACCGGACCTTCTCCCAGTCAGTGGGTTTCACCAGTTTACGCAAACTGGGCATGGTCGAGTGCAAGGCAGAAGGAAGGTCTCGGGGCTGCTGATCTCGCTCAAAGTGCAGATGTGCCTCAATAACATCCTGGAGCTCCGAGTCCACATCCAGGAGCAAGGACATCTCCTTCAATTCAGCACAAAAAGGAAGCTGAGAACTTCTTCCAGTGCTTTCAGAAAGCATCGACTTGGAGTCTCTGCGCGACTGTGCATTGTCACTTGGATTCCAAGTAGGCAAAAGTACTGAAGGTACTGCATCTCCCCCAGCTTCAGGTTGTGGCCGGGACTCAGGATCTTCTTTAAACGCGAGAAGATGATACAAATCATGTGCGCCAAAAATGCCTGCGTGGCCGCGACGCCGTGACGAACAACCACTGCAGCACACAAACCCCCAATAGCAAAGCATCCACCAAGATCTGACGCATGTTTTTGTGCGTGGCGTTGTTCTTTCACACATCGAACATCGAGGACAATTTGTTGAAATCACAAAAAGGGGCAATGCAGTCCAAGAGTTTCACACAAAGTTGCACAAACAACTTCGATATCCAAGCAAGATGCTGTTCCATGGACCACGAAACACTTATATAAGGAATGTTCGCCAATGGCCGAATCGTATTTCCAAGTGCCTCATAGTCTATGCATCGAAGGACCAATCAATACAGCACAACAAAAGATTTGCACCAAGGAAGAGGGGTGTTCATATATCTAGGCGCACAACTCCTACTCGGACCAGAGACTCATGAGGAGATAAAAATTACAAATGACAGGAAATATATTGTCGCCAGACAAGGAGGAAAGGGTTTACATACTGAAGGACGGACGCATAATCTATATATACACGAAAGGTGCAATGAATGCAACTGTCAAAGGGGTCATACGCCAAGTATTGGCTGCAAGGAAGATACACGTTTGGACACGCAGGCGCATAGTTTGCACAAAAGCACGCAAGCCAAGCGAATAATACAAACAAAAATAATGTTTTACAATAGCAAGCAGGACGTATACATCGAATCAATGATTGGCTGTACATGTGCCAAAGCATGACTTACATGCAAAGGATACAAGAAACGCAGTGTCAAGCAAGCACTTTTTTACACATCGAAAACACTTCTCCACCAATATAAAAATACTCCGAAATGCAATCGAAAAAAAAAGGCTTTAAAAAAAGTAGACAGCAAGTTACAAGAATAAACTCACTATCCAAACAACATGTACGCAATTGTCGTGGACCACGAAGCACTTAAGGAATGTTTGCCGAAGGCCAAAATTTCTGTTCAAGTGCCTGCGTGCCATTGCTGCATCTGAGAAACATACTCTCTAAGGCCGGCGGAAAACATATACTCATAGAATCGTGCCAAGCACATTAAGTATTTCGACATGGTCCCACACAGTTTCCACTCTAACAAAGAACGAGACATTTCACAGGATGTCATATATGAGGGGGTCATCATGAATATATACGCTAACAAGACGCCACTACGAAAAGAAAAGCCAATGCATGTTCAAGGACGCGTGCAATATTTACACATGACACGTGCAATGAATGCATATACATTTAAGTGTTGGCACCACGGAAGATATGAGTTTAGACACGCAAGCGCGTAGTATATACGTATTCACGAGAAAGTTGTTTAAGAAGGAGTAGAAAATAAATACCTACATTGCACGGGACCTACATGAGCAGCTCAGCATGTATTTGCCAACTAAAATGTTGATAGATTTTGTACAAAAACAATACAGAGGACGCTCCTCTCAAGGAAAGCAGTCCTTTTCATGTCCACACATGATTTACGCATTCCCGCGCAAACTTGACGTTTAAGCACCAGGGCGCAATGCGCAACAGGTGTATGGACACGCAAAAGCACAGTTCATAAACGCACAAAGATTGAGACCGAGACACAACCGCAGCGAACCACCGCCGAAACAGACCTGTTGCACCACCAAAACAGCAAACCCCGACGCTCATGAGTCCCTCCCAATATAAAAATATAGGGGCCGGACCCTCACATGGAGGCCGGGGGCCCTCCAACCCGTAGGTTTTGCGAGGCACGGCCTGTCTGGAGCGCCAAAACATACCGGCACACGACCCAAACATAAGCCGAACACCGCCGAAACATGAAAGAGACACCACCGAAACATGACCAAGACACCGCCAAAACAGGACTGCAACACCACCGCCCAAACATGACCAAGACACAACCAAAACATCATCAAGACACCACCCAAGCATTAATTACCCAGACACCAGCAACATGACTGATCGAGACACCACACAAACATGAACGAAATACCACCGAAACGTGACCCAGACCACCTAAACATGACCAAGACACGACCAGCTAAACATGACCCAGAACCACCGCCGAAACATGACCCAAACACCGCCTAAAGGTGACCGAGACACCTTCGAAACATGAACGAAACACCGGACACCACGGCCCAGGCGCAGGGCCGTGGGCCGCCCAGCTGGTCAAAGAGCATACAACCCCAAGCTTTCGCTATTGGTTGATTTTCGGTTGGGTCATTCAGGGAGCAACCTCAACCCCCAATCAGCCGTAATGACGCGTCATTGATAGTTGTTGCCACGTTCTCACAAGTGTGGACTCTCAAGCTGAGGCGCGGTCTTAAGTGTGGATGCATCTTTCTGATTTCATTGTGTATATCAGTATGATGCTCACAAAAAAGGTGTGTATAGAAAACTACATTGCGACCAGGTGTTCGACTATTGACCTTCGTTGACCACCAATGCCTGGAACAGGCACGTGGTAAATATCTGTGGCCACCCGTATACCTCCAGCATCACGAAGAGACACCCGCAAGCACAGCGGAGGTGCAGCACCCTTGGAGTCTGGTGCCTGAAAAGCCTCCTTTGGTTTGGATGGCCGGGCAAAGAAAAATCACTTATTACTATATATGATCCCGTGGTTCCACCTTGGATTTCCAAATATTTCAGGTCATGGGATGTCCTCTTGTTGCTTCCTTGAAGATTCCCCAACACTGGACTCTGCTAGGCTAGGCTAGTTCCAAACCTCCGAATGAAAATCATTCAGAGGTGGCAATGCCACAAGTGATTGAAGAATAAGGTCGAACTCACCTCATTTCACTGAAAATACATATATAGCGAGGGAGGTGGTGATTTTGCCACATAAGGACGCAAGGCACTCCACAGCATCGTTCACCAAAGTACTGTGTTAACACTGCAGCCCAGCATCGTTCGAAGCCTCAATAAACTCACGAAAGCGAACCAGTTGCTCGTCATCAACCAACAAGTGTTCAAAGGACTTGCCTTTGAGGCTCACATCCGTGAGAATGAGATGTTTCAAGCAGTGGCTCTCCTGGGCCACATTCATGTGGTTGTCCAAGAGCACATCACCATCACAAACACCTGGATCGATGTTTGCGTATGGCTGAAAAACCGAGCTCCAAACATTCAATCTACACAAACCATGACTCGCCTGCATCACTCTAGCCTTAACCCTCAACTAGTGAGGGCCATGGATTTCCTAGCGTTGATTATAGTTCCCAAAGCAGCAAATGGAAGAGTGGAAGAGAGCATGTTGTTCAGGAATGGTTTCTCGTAACAAAAGTATAACTGGATTGTGGTGATGGTGGTGGTGATGGTGGTGGTGGTGGTGGTGGCAAACACCAAGAAATAGGAGAAACCAAGAGATCACAAGCATGGATGTGGGTCAGAATGACATTGAAGGTTTTAGTATATCGCAATAGTTTGGCGAACCACCTGTTTATTCGTTGGTTTCATGCAGGAAGCAACCTGAAACAGTGAAGGTGCACTGCATAGGGTTTGGTGTCATCACCAAACTGCCTTGATTGATGTTTTTTAATGGGTAAACGGTAAACACCCCCTCTTTCTTGGAGAGCGAGCGCACGAGAGCATAAACATCAGAGTGAAGACACAAGCACAAGTACGAGCACGCCAAAAGAGAGTAAACGTGCACATCGAGAACACACGGGAGAGCACACATGGAGCTCAAACATGAGAGGGCACACATGAGAGCAGTGAGCACACATAGCAAGCACGCGTGTCAGAGCACATTTTCTGACGCTCCTCCAAGAACAGACGCCGAAAGCAAAACAAAAAGGAAGATAACAAGAAGCTAGTAGAAACAAGTGCCACTTTATCCAACAGGCTTGAACAAGAGTCACGGAGCCGAACCAATGAAGAGAAGAGAGGGCTCAAACTGCCCAAAGGTGCAAGCTGAAGGGATTAGTTCAGCAGTACATGCCAACGCTGAAGGCAAGCATTCTGTAATGTGGGGATAGCAATCCCAAGGAATTTGGGAGACAGGCGGGCCTGCAAATCAAGAGCAAGCAGCAGCAAACATTGCTGTCGATCGCTCAACAACCAGTCTCGACGGAAGGGCCTCAACAGGACTTGGAGTGAACCCACGCAATGCATGTGGGCCACGCAAACCTGTGCCCACGAACCTCAGTTCCAAGGCTGGTTTTCTTCGCAGTTGGATTTTTGGCACATCTCTGAACGCACGCCAGTCTTAAGACTCTTGGGCTTGAGACCTGGGATTCAGAGCCAGGCTAAAGATGGGCAAGCCACCAACCAAAGCCTTGCCTGAAGATCAATAAACAAAGGTATTTGGCTCACGGGCAACCACCACCTACGTAACACAGGGTGACCACATGTGGGGGGTCCATGTAACCTGCAAAACCTGCGTCTGCATCCCCTGACCTTATAAAATTCTTTCGTCTGGTAAGGCCAGGATCCTTGATTTAAGAAGAAAAACATGGAAAAGTCACTGTCAAAAAATCAAATGGAAAAGTCAAGAAAAACATATAAAATGATCAGAAACAATTCAAAAACAGTCAAAAAAAATCAAAAATAAATAACAACTCAAAAAAGTCAAATAAAAGTCAAAGATATTTTGTTTAAAAAACAACTCAAAAAATTACAAAAACAACTCGAAAAAGTAAAAAACAAAATTACAAAGCAACTAAAAACAAAACGGTAAACAATCAAGTAAAAGTCAACAAAGTTGAACGTCGTTTAAAAAAATAAGTTAAGAAAAGCAAAATCAAAAAAGTCGGATCTGGGCCAATTGTCTTTATGACTTTCTGAAACAGTCTGATTTGATTATTTTTGACTTTGACTTTGGGCGCCGACAACTATGTTGCCTTCTTTGACTGTTTTAAATCATGAAAACAGGCTCAAGGGACTTCTGAGAAAAAAAGAAACAACACAGAGAATAGACTGGGCGGGCGGGACCACATAGCAAAGCGAGGGAGCGCAATTGGAGGAGGGCGGGCGTGAAAGATTTGGGGAGCCGGCCGTGACCAGGCGTGAGCGACCACGGTCCACACCCTAAACCCTGAACCCCTTGTGGTAGTTCTTATGCAACTGGATGACCATGAGCACAATACTCATGGCGTTTAACAAGCTTGGTGGGCTGAACCACTGAGCCTGAGCTTGATGTTCCTCCTGCATCTTCCTGCTCTCTTGTGATTTAGTCCATTTGCAGTTTCCTTTCAATCACTTCCCGCCTCTCAGGACCCTTCGGAAACCACAAAGCAAGGACTCCGCTTCTGCTGTGTCCAGCTGTGCATCGATACGCCCACGAAGACACAGATCGATGAAAATCGAGGAAGCAATGGTTTGCACCAAAACAAAGAGCTGCCCAGAGCTGAAGGATGCCAGTTGCATCCAGAAATCCCCCTCCTCCATCACACAAACATGTAGAATCACCTCGACAAGGGTGTAAAGCACTTGGAAAGGGACGGTAATCTTGGGATCCAAAAGCACTAGCACCAGGCAGAAGCGTACTGCAGAGTGAAAGCCTTGCATCGTCGATCGCACCCAAGCACTTGACCAAGCCGTAGAGATAAAGGCTGCAAGTGCGGCGAAATGGCAAAAGTAGGTGAACCGCCTTGCATGGACTGGCACGTTGGTCAAAAAATGACCAGGGATTGTTCACGCCAGATATGAGTTTGTGATAATAGAATCACCTGTGTAAGCCTGTGTACCGTCAGCTACACCTTCGTGCTGATGCCAAATGGAATCCTCGAAGATTCTCCTGTACAGACCTGGGACCCAAGGGGGTTGCCTGGGTGGATGAGATGCAACGAAGGCTTGCAGTATACAACTAGCCTGACCCTAATGGAATCTCCGTAGGTAAATTGCCCAGGCGCCACATTCCTGCCAATGGACCCCTCAAATCGTGTGTCGCCGATTCGCCGATTCGAAGGGCGGGAAAAATCCAAATCAGAGCTGGGATTTCTTGGTAAGAAGGAACATCCCCGAATCCTTGGCCGCGGAAATGGCCAAGCTCTAACTAGACCAGCTCCGTTTTGGGGGTCTCTGCTTGCCTTCGCGTCCTATCACAGCCTTTCCCCTCTCCGGACGAGCGGCTCGGTCAGCTCGATCGACTCCGCCGCGGTGCAAAATGCGTAGCACACCACGCAATAAGTCGCCCACACCGAGGAGTCAAGCCCAGGGGTTGCCCAAGCTTGGTAAAACATGAGAATGCAAAGTATGAAATCCAAATGACAAGTGCAACGCATGAATAAGTTGAAGTTCCTCTTGCGAAGCTTGGCCATCTCTTCCTGGCGTGTTCAGCTTCAGTCAAAGGCTCCAAGAGAAACACACCACCGTGCTTGTTTGATGGGATGACAATCGTGCCTGTCCAAGCATCAACAAATCCTACCCTTACCGGAGACAACAACCAGACCCTTCTTGTGTGCTGATTGCTATATTGCTGCATATTGCTGCTACTGCTACATCTTGTTGAAGGCTCAGTCTTAGTAGTACAATTTGAGCAACTGCGGGCAGAGTTGGAATTGTTGGAAAGAGGAGTCTCACCCCTTCCTCAACCCGTGCTTCTTTCAAAAAGTCGATGCTGGCATCTTCTTGCATCCACTTGCACATCCACCGGTGAAAGTCCACCAAGTCATTCCGCGTCAGCCACAAATGGAACGGCGCCAAAACAAGAACCAAGATCATCAGCATTGCCCAGGTGTTCATCGTACGTGGAAACTTTGCTCTACAAAACAAAGGAAGGCAACGGTCGCATGTCTTCCCACATTCGTTCTCAAACATCGAGTTCTTGTAGTTGTCTTCATAGATGCTATCAATATGATTGAAGATATATATATATAAGATGCTATCAAGTATAGATCCTTGACTAGATCCTTGAGTGTCTATTGTAGGTCTCTTGTAGATGCTATCTTTCTCTACTGCTACTCTTTCAGTCTTTGTGCTTCCTCTGATCCGCTAAACTCAAAGTCCGCTGGTTTCAGGCAGGGCTTCGGTGCGGAACCGGGACCGGTGGAAGGATTCATGTCGGAACCTGACCGACCCGTAAAGAACGTAGAGACCCAAACATGGCGAACATTCCAAGAGCTGGGGCTCGATCCAACCAAGAAACCTGATTGAAACACGGTCAAACAGCATGGGCTAAACTCTCAAAGGTGGTGCGAAGGAGCTGCGAGTTCCCCAAACGAACGGATGGAGTAGGGAACTCCCAGAGTAGGGTTGAAGTGTTTCTGGGGATTTGGGAACCTTTTTGTTCTTTGACCCGCTCAGGCTCAAAGAAACCGAAAGAAACATTTCACAAAATGTTCATCCAAAACCATGCCCCCGCACGTGACATCCTCACGGTCCCGTGACGTCGAGTCTACGCGTTTTTGGGCGGCACCTGGACAGCTCTGCACCTGGGACGAGACTTTGTCACAGTGTTTCCCAGGTCCAGGAGTTTCAGGGGAAGGGGGCGGAAGTGTGGCCGTAGATAGGGGCGCGGAGCGAAAGGAAAGTAGTGGTTTCTACCAAACCTCTGTGGCACCTTATCTGCCAAAAAGGGTGTCTTCCGAAGATGTGTTGTGAGCGCCTCCTCCCCTCGGCGGGGGGGAAGGAAGCTAGCTTCCTTGTAGAACTTTAAGCAGGATTGATGTGGTTCCTAGATTTGGGGGGAACTTCCATATATGCATCCTTTTCTAGGATAGGAACTTCCATATGGATCCTTCCTTCCACTTCGGTCTATATGGAACATAATTTTGATCCCTGTTCCATCCTGTTTCTTTGATCCTAGGAAACTTGCCCAGTAAATCCAACATGAGGCCGAACATGCACGGACGTTGGGGAAGTGGCAAAGAGCATAAGCCATTGTACTGCAGGCAAACAACAATGCAGTACACGCTGACATCTTGAGACATCGAAACCAATGGGTCATACACAGTGTTGACTCAGGGACGCTGGCTGCCCTGGTGAAAGCTTATAAAAAGCTGTAAATGTTGTGCCCACCCTCTAAAACTCACTGTAAATTACTGTACGTACATACTGCAGAAGGACAACTTCAACCCAAAAGAATCCTCAAACCCGCCAACCAAAAAATGGCCGACTCCAACGCCTCCAACTCCGCTGGGCGGTGGCGGGTGACCCGACTTCACGGCCACGAAGCCTGCGACGGCGCGACGCTCCGGACCGAAAGCGCGGCGGTCGCGTGAGGGAGACCGTGAGTGTCCAGGGGGGAGGGTACAAGGAAGCTACTAGTAGCTCCTGGCCTTACTACTAGTTACAAGGCGTCTAGTAGTAGCAAGAAGCTACTAGGTGGAGGCCATCGCTATCAGGTTGGATGCCATTAAGGGCTCTAGGTGGGTAACCCTAGCGGGATGCTTCACTTGCCATGGTGGAACGCCCGCGCTCTGCATCTTTGAGCATCTACGTTCTGTTGCTCTCGCCGTTGGCTACGTAGACCCTAAATCCACGTCGAGGGCATGGGTCGACCAGCTGGGCTACTTGGTCACAGCCACCTTCTAGAGTACCTCGATGGAGGTTGGGGTGGATGTGAGGTGGCCACAGCCGGAAGTGAGGTGGCAACCCTTTTTGCACTTTGAATGCGCGCGGCATAGTGGCAAGGAAAGACGTGGCCGCCAACTTGCTGCTGTTCCATGCGAAGGCTTGGGTTGTGTACGCCTGTGGGGTGGTGTCAGGAGATGCCAGAGTACCAGCGCTCTTGTTGCGTCTCTTTGCCCCTTCAGCGTGGTGAGTTGTGTGAATGGCTGCTCCGGATGCGGTGTGAGTGGCTTGATGCAGCCTTGTCTCCCGTCCTCTGTGGTTTGCAGCTGGCGTGCAACTCGGTTGGCTGGCAGCTGGACCGCTCAAAACGGTACAGTAGCCGCCTTTCTTCACCTCCTAGTGCCATTTTGGCCGGAGGCTGAAGGTAGAATTCAGCTTTTGACGCGTCCCGCCTAAGTGGCTTTTGCATACGGTGCAAGCCTCATGCATGCGAAGCCAAGACCAAGAGCCACATGGCTCAGTACTCGCGAAAGGAAAACAAGGAGGCCATTACTACTAGTAACAAGAAAGATGGAGAGTTCAGTCTTTGTTCGTTCTGCCGCGAACAGGAGCAATGAGCCATGCTGGCTCCGCTTTCGGTGACCCTCTGAATCTCTTTCGACCCCTTTCGGTCACCAAAACAATGACCGAATCCCTTTCGAACAGCAAAGGCCACAAGAATGGATGAATGAATGGCTCCACTGTCTGATCTAGAACCTGCCTGCATCCATCGTTGAATTCATCAAGCACGGTAAGGATGGCATGCGTTGAACATGCAAACAACGGCTTCTGGAAAGACCATGAAGTTCGAGCACCAAACGGGGGGCATCCTAAGAGTCTTTTTATTTGAGCCTGGGGGGGTAGGCCGAGTAGAGTAGAGGTAGCTAGTAGTAGCTAGGCAGCTACTACCTGCAAGTAGCTAATAGTATGGACGCAGGATAGCTCACGCTCGCACTAATGATTTGGTCCTTAGGTTTTTAGGGAAACTTAACTTCTTGTTACTAGAAAGCGTTATTACTAAGAAGCTTTATCCACTTCTGAAGATGTTGCAGGAGTTTGCATACAAAACCGACCAAACCGACCAGGAGCAGAGAACGTGATCTTCTCTCTGCACGCAACGACCAGGGCGAAAGCACGGACGAAGAACGTTCCCTTCGGACCTTGAAGGTTGGCCCCTTTGGGAACCGCCTGGCAAAAACTGCAGTCCGCATGGCTGGGACCAATAGTCCTCCTGGTGAAAGAAAAAGGATCTGTCCATTGAGATGGCATGAGATGGCACCCGTAGTGTTCCAACACTGATGTGTAGCAAGTAATGTTCTGAACCTTCAAGTGCTTCGATCTCTATCTGTGTGACACGCAGTACTTACTGAGTACTCTTCGAGGAAACGCAATATGATGCAGACATGGATGCGACCCTATGAAGAGACACATGGCCAACATAGTCGAATATCTTCACTCTGCATGGCCCTCCTGCCATTCCCGTTAAGGGAAACGGGCGGAGGAATCCACGCAAAGCAACAAATGCCCAGTCGGACATGCACAGGCTGCACCTGGCTCTTTCTCTAGGATCAACTTACACACATACTGGTGCACAAAAAATCTTACATTATCTGGCGTAGGCGGGACTGCAAGTTCCAATGGAGAAGAAGGCTTAGACTCGACGTTGTTCATGAAGCGTAATTACATGTAATTACCCAAAACGCTTATATAGCTACCATTCACATCCATTCACCAATGCAAACTCCCAACTCACCAAGCCATCCAACCGTCCCTGCCTGGGTGTTGGGCCTCAAATGGGGCCCACATGGGCCCGGCACCGCTCCAAACAACGGCGGTCACCCGGTCGCCGAAACGAGTCGATCAACCGGTCGCGGGACGAGTCATCACCACCCATTCTACGGCCATCTCTGAAGAGATGCACGAAGTGCCGGTCGCTTTTTGAAACCAAGAACCAGACCTGACCGGCCAGACGTTGGCACCCACTTGCCCTTGTGTCTTTTCCTACGAGCGGTCATTCCATCTTCTCACATCTCTCATATCCATCGGATGAGCATCCCATCTGACCAAGCGTCATGTGCATCTGCGGCATTCCCACGCCCATTCCAGGCCTCGAACCCAATCAATCGGTTCGCCCAAGAAAACATGCAAGCTGGACTGTGGAATCCTAAGGTATTTATGGTGGATTCCTCGGCTATGTTCTATGATCACGTGCAAAAGAATCAACACCGGGGGGAGACACCATTGGCCGCAGCAGTTCGCAAAATGAGTGTGGGAACCCTGAACCACAGCTGCCATGGGATCAGCATGGATCAGCACATGTCGACATTGAAACGGATCAAACGTGAAACGGTCTAATCCATCCCATCGTCATGGAAAAAGGGCTCATGTTATTGGACCCCACCACCTGGACACTGCGTGACTGGGACACTGTCCGCGTGACTGGGACTGGGACTTTTTTGGACCCTGCCCTAGACTTGGGAATCAGCTATAGGATATCATAGGATGATTCAGTAGACGGCTGAAACTGCCCATGCAAGTGAACACGAAGCGGCCACAATCAACATCTGTCGCCACATCTGGGGCTGCGCACATCATACCGCCCATGCCCATCATGTTCCTGGGCCGAGAGTCATCCTTCACGCAGAACAAATCAACTACCTTCAATCAGTCTACCTGGTAGTCTACCTTTCTACTTGCCTACCGGACTCAGCAGACCAAACGGGGCTCTTTGGCCGTCGAATCCCGGAGCATGTTCTTTCCACCATCTGCCTGCTCTTGGACCATACACTCACCAATCTTCCATCAACAGGGGATCAACAAAGTCCCTTGGCTCACTGGCTGTTGGTGGCTATGCCCTGGATTGAAACATGTCTGGGCTTTCCTCAATGGGCATCGTTTTTTCATGCACCCGACCCCGTCTGATGCATCTTCCACAGCTCCACAGCTCTGCGTCTTCCGGGTCAGGCCGCTCCGTTCACCCGGGTCACCACCCGCACCCGTCAGGTGTTGGCCGGGATGGAAACACTCCATCGGCCACTCAGAGCAGGACGCCATCATCATGTTCATGTTGTTCATCATCTGCATGGTCTGATTCTGCATGTTGGACCTATCAGCTTGGTGTCACCGCTCAAGAACCCACTGACAAAGCAGAAGAAAGTATGAACATGTGAGCCATGGTTCAGGCAATAAACAACGGCCGTTGACCTGACCACGGATTCAATCAACCATTGACCT